TCTTGAAAAGTAGCTTCCTCCCACCCTTAGCTTCTTTGCCCACTAATAAAACATGTGACTTCTGAAAGGTTAGGTCAGTGTGGATGGATCCCTGTTCCCCCATCTTCTCACCCAGTTGTACTTAGACCCCTTCCCCCACGCCATTTTCCCTCCCTCAGACTGCTGGGAGCCAGCCAGTGCAGATAATAAGAATGGAAAGGAAGGGAAATTGTCTCTGGGCTCCTTGACCGGCTGAGCTCTGAGGGGGCTTGGAGAGACTGGGGTGGAGGGGGGAGGCATCGGAGATGGGGCTCAGGTCTCAGGTGGCAAATGGGCTGATTCATTAAGTGTGTCCCTGAAGGAAAGAAGTGAGGATCCCTGCCTTGGCGGAAACTGGGATCCTTTGGAGATTTAGTCTGAAAAGAAGCCCAAGGCTGGGGGACTCATGCAAGCTGAGGGGAGCTGAGGAATGCAGGGCCCCCTGCACCCAGGAGCTCCATCGCCCCCTCCACCCCCAAGCTCAGCACAGGGCTGCATCCCAGAGGCCTCTCTGCCACCCCCTTTCTTTCCGCAGACCCAAGATGCCAGGCTGCTGCCAGCAGTTACCTGGCTCATCTCTGTCCCGCAGCTGGGGGCTACAGCTGGTGGCATTGACAGGGGGAGATTCTCCCATCCCTGTGACCTGACCCCTTTCCTCCTGTCTTCCTTTGTTTCCCCTGTGTCGTCATCATTATCTTTTTCTCGATTTCAACTGTCTCGCACCATCTCATTGTCCATGTTTCTGTGGGCTCTAATATTAATAGGGAATATTTTATATAATGCTTTCAATATTTTTCCACTCCCCTTCACGTCTACTTCCTCATAGAGTCTGCCTCATCTCAGCCTCTCACCATCCTGGTCTGTACCTTTGGGGAACAAGCTGCTCGTATATTCACATTAAAATTTAGATCTGTGTTCTGTGAGAGCTTACAAAGGGCTGCCTTTGTTTCTGTCTCTGGATGTCTCTTCCTCCTTTCATGATCTCTACCTTCCTGCCCCTTCCCTGTCTCCTCCCCTGAGTTCACTGTGCCCTGAGACTGGGGTCTCCTTCCACCTCAACTTCCATCTGTAGGCAGTTCAGGGCCCCAAGTAATCATGCTGCAAAGGGAGGCCTGATTAACTCCTCTTCCTTCCTGCAGATTAATCTTGCTTTCTGAGCACAAGCCCCATGCTTCTGGTACACCCTGCTCTGAGCTGAGATAGGACCCAGGGAATCAGCTGTTCCAAAGTGGGTGAGGGGCTAGAGCCTGCCTTGTAGTGTGGAGGGGCTGTGTCCAGAGTAGGGGTAGCTCAGGCTCTGGCTGGCCTTCCCCACCCACAGCAGCTCCCCCATCCTTCACTTCTCAGAATCAGGCCTGGAAGAGCCTGTCTGACCAAGAAGGGGTTGGTGACCCAAGCCTGATTGCCCCCACTCTCCGCCTCATCTCCTGCTCCCAGGGCCCAAATTGTCGTCACTTTCCCAGTGAAGTGTCTGGTCATTTTCAGAAGCAATTTCAGGAGAACATGCAGCTGCTGCTCCCTATCCTGCTTTTCCTTCCCCAGGGCTGAAGCTCCCTGGGCTGGGGATGGTGGGAGGGGAAGGGCTAGGGTCCCTGGTGTCCCTCCTTTCCTTCCTGCATCAGTCATGGGGGTGGATGCTAGTTCAAAGAAGGATAGGGGCTCCTCTCCTTCTCCTTTACTCTTCTATCCCTGCCTTCCTCTTCCTCTTTCCTGTCTCTGCCTCTCTTCTCTTCTCTTCTGGAGCCCAGGAGTGTGTGTTTTCATCCCCTGAAGCCCATAAGGGCTCGGTTTCCCAACCCGTGTCTCAGGGCTGGCATTGGCTCCATCACTATGGGAGAAACTGGAGTTCTGCTTCCAGCCCTCGTCCCCACCCCTCCCCTCCTAGCCATCTTTCTCCTCAGCCAGTGCAGCACTCTCAAAGTCTAGCTTATTTCAGCCTCTGAGGGTCACAAGCCATACTGGATCCCCCTAACCACCGTGAGGAGCCATTCTAGGGTCTCGCAGCTTAAAACAGCCCTAGCTCAGTCCTCTGGGCTCAGTTCATCTCATCACCTTGCTCTGGGGGCTCTTGTTCCTTGCTGTGTGGGTTTTCTCCAGCTGTCTTTTGGCCGCAGGACTTAGAAGCTGCCATCCTTCTGTTCTTCACTGTTTTTTTGCACTCAGTGTCACATATGGCCCTGGACCCACCATACTCACTCCCAGCACCCCTCCAGGATGCTGAGGGACTGAAGTTGTGCATGTGGTGAACATATTCAGGCCATCTCGTGCTTATAATCACGTGCTGGGCCTGCCTCCACCTCTAGCTGCTGGTGAACTGCCTGCTAACGTGTCTCAACTCAGCACAACTGTACACCCCTTTCCTTGGCCTCACCCTCAACCCACCCTAACAACAAAGAGGGGGTGCTACAGGGGGTAGTGCTGCTAGGGACTCTGGATTCCAAGCACCCTGCTCCTCTAGGCCAGGGACAGCATCTGAGATGTGGCTGAAGTAAAGAGTAGGTATGTTCTAAGAAAAAACGCCTAGGTGCTCTATAGCTGCAACACCCACTTTTCATGTGCAGCCCGGCCTGCTCCAGCCCTCCAATACCTCTCTCCCTCATCATCTCCTCTTTAATATGGGCATCAGCTCTTTCAAGTCTTTGCTAATCCCTGAGATCAAGGGGTGTTCGGCTCTCCCTGACATCTCCTTGCTCCCCCCACCCTTGGCTCCTGCCATCCTCTGTGAGATGCTGCATCATCAAAGGACATTATTTATGGTGGACCTTTCCTGAAGCCCTGCTTCCCTGGTGCCAGGGCTTGGGGCAGGGATGGATGGGTTGGTAGGGGAAAGGGGTTGATGGAAAGATCGGACCCAGGAGGCTTTTGTTCCTTAGCTTGGTCTAGCACCTCCTCCTTGCACTGCTTCCCTCCAGCCTGCCTAGCTTGGGCCTCCATCTCCAGATTGGTTGGGGTGGTAGAGGAGGAGGAGGGAGATGTCTGGGTCCAATTGGGAACAGCACCTGAGCTTCTCAAAGGAATGAACCAGTCATTCCATTTGCATGTAAACAGCTTCTCACTTCTAGTCTTCATCCACCAAATGCCCCCAACCCTGGGTCCTGGCCCATGTTCTTTGCCCACACAGTAATTAGCCATGTAATGAGACGCTTTTAATGAGCCCCCATTAGCATCTCACATATTAAAGAAGCCTTGAGATCCAACTGCTGCCCTCACTCAGGGGTGATCACAGGGCCTTGTGTAGCCAGGGTGACTTCTCTGAGTATGGTCCAAGTCCCGGGGGGTGGACCCCAGCAGCCCTTGAGAGGCTCCATGGAGATGCCATGATTCGGACTGAGGTAAAAGAAGCTTGGCTCTGGCTTCTTTTTGTGTTTTAGAAATAAATTTTTATTGAGAACCTATTATATGCCAAACACTATAAAGCAAGGGATACATGCTGGCATGACATTTACATTCTATTGGGGGGCGTTGTAGAGAGACAATCAATAAGAAAAATGCTAAGCATGTTGGACGTAACAAGTGCACGAAGGGAAAAAGCCGGAGCAGGATATGTGGGCCTGGGGTGGTGGAAATTTTAAATAGAATAGGGAGATTGGGGAAGACCTCATTAAGCAGGAGTCTTTGTAGCAAGTACGAGGTAGAGATACAGTTCTCTCCCAATCCCAAGATGTAGAAGGTCCCAAGTCTCTTGGGGGAGGTGGGCCACCCACTTCCTCTGGGACAGTTAACTGTTACCTCACAGCTCAAAATTTATGCCAGTGCAGTAAAAAGAACAGGAGATCTGGAGCAAGAAAAACCTGAATTTGTAGCTGTTCTCCACTGATTAGTAGCCATATGTACCGGAGCAAGTGACTGAACATTCTAGACCTGTTTCCTCATGTGAAAAATAGGAATATTTCCTACTTACATGGTGGTGGTGATGAAAATCAAATGGATTGCTCCATGCTGAAGCACCCTGCACCCGTTACGAACATGGGCTCTGAGCGACTTCCCCTTTGCATCTCCCGTGTCTGATCCAGCAACAGGATCTCTCTCTAGCTCTGGCACTGGTCCTGACTCTGGCTCTGCTCTGGGCTCTCTCCCTTGGGTGGGACATGAGCAGATAATCCCCCTCATCTGTGCGAGGGACGAAAAAGAGGCTTGAAAGTTCAGAGGAGAAAATGCCTGAGCTTCTGGGAGATAGATTAGAATGGGAAAAAATGTAACTGTGAGAAAAAGGAAGCAATTAAGAGATCAATGCTGGGGCAGGGTTGGGGTGGGGAGCAGCTGGGCCACCAGTTCTGTTCCTCCTCTCTGAGAGCACAGCAGGAGGGATAGAAGGTAGAACTCTAGAAGGATTTAACTAAGTCCAGCTGATTCTGGGGTCAAGAAGGAGTGGGGTGGGAGAGATATCAGCACTGGGGAGGGTGAAGGAAGGCCAACACCGGAGGTTTCTGCATTTGGCAGGAGGGGAGAAGTATGGCACTCAACGGTGCGGGGCCAATGTGATGGGGCGGCTCCCACTGGGAGGATACAGGCAGATATGAGGACTGGAGGAGATGCCAGACTTGTCTCCCAATTCTCAGGGGCCTAAGCCTGGTCGTCCTGGTAGGGGCAGGGGCAGAGAGGCTCTTGCCTGATGCTATTCCAGCCTGGCAGTCAAGCCTGAAGGTTTAAACGGCAAGGAGCTGGTGGGTGAACCAGGAGGGGAAAGAGGCCCAGGGTCCATACCTATTGACGAGACTAGGCATGGGAATTTTGTGGCAAACCATATACAGCATTCCTTAGAGTGCCTCGCTTATGTGCTGTTAGAAAGTAGGCTGCTGGACAACTCCAGCACACTGCTGGGTCTGCAGTGTGTGTATGTGCACATGCATGTGTGTGTGTCTGGGTGTGTGGCTACAGTCTGCATCCTCCTTCCTCCCCACCAGCCTCCCCCTCCCCTCCAGCCACCCTGGGATTGGTGACTCTCAGTCCCTCCCCTCGGCTCCCCCATACCTTCCCAGATCCTTTATCAGGGAGCTGGGACTGAGTTCCTGCCACCTCCCCAGATCCCCTCCACTCTGTGTCTCTCCTCGCAGCAGCAGCAGCAGCGGCAGCACTAGTGTGTGGGGAGCAGGCAGTGCTACCAGTCGGCTCCCTGATCCTGCCAGACCGCCCAGCCCTGGGCACAGAGCTGCTCCACAGGTAGGTGAGCGGGAGAATGTCAGACTGGAGCTGCCACCAAGGGACAGGAGACAGAGTCGGGACGGAATGAAGGAGATGGCAGCCTTTGATAGGGGAGCAGGGTCCTGGGAAGATGAGCAGAAAGCGCCTGTAGGGTTGAGAGCTGGTTAATGTTTGGAGCCTGTCGGTGCAGACCGATTCTTCCATACCGGCAAGTTTTTGCCAAGTCTCAGGGTTATCTAGCACTGGAAAATAGCACTCAGGATCCCTCCTCAAGCTGACTATAGAAACAGACCAGTGCATGTACTATAAATCTATCATCTTCCTTGGGAGCTAGAATCCCCTGGCACTAGTGCACTGTTGATCATTGCCAGGGTCACATTCTGGGGAGATGTCTGGTGGGGTAGCAGGGAAATGGAGCCCAAGGCTGTACTCCTGCTTGGAGATCCTTTCCATGCTATCTCTAGACCAGACTGGGGGAAGCAGGGTCAAGCCAGGCTGCTTATCACAAATGTCTTCTGCATTTCACCCTTGCTGTATCCTCCTCCTCTCCCCCCACACCTGGGTCCTGTCCCTTTGATCTCCCAGGCACCATGAGGAGCGCCCTGCTGTTTGCAGCCATCCTGGCCCTCAGCCTGGCTCAGAGCTTTGGGGCTGTTTGTGAGGAGTCACAGGAGCAGGTGGTGCCCAGCGGGGGCCACAGCAAGGTAAGTCACCCTCTGGCAGAGTACTGGGAACATCATGGGAACCTGGGGCTCTGCCTGTCTGGGCAGCTGTGGCGAGGAGGTGGGTGGGCAGGTGAGGAGCTACATGGGTTATCCATCAGAGGGCATTTTGTCTCCCTTTGGATTTCTCCACCTGTCTGGTCCTCTCGTGTGTCTAGCACGTATTTGGCACTCCCTGAAACTGTCTCCGGGTGTGTCTGTAAGTGTCTGTCTTTGACACCTTGTACACAAAAAGGTGCCCTACAAATATGTCGTCTGGTTGGTTGATTGGGGATTTGATGACTGGATGGTATTGTGAGGGGTGAGCTAGGGTGGGCTTAGGTTGTTTATGGTCCAGCTCAGGTTCTGTCCCTTTACAGGGGACAGATCTTCTCTATTCCCTGGATGGTATGAAACACAGTAAGACTTTCTTTCCCAAATAGTCATTTGTATGCTATTTTACCTATCAGTTATGTGTATTATTTTATTTTCAAAATGCAAATAAATTCCCTTCTCCTGTGCTCATCCACCCCTGGTAACCTGAGGTGCTTCTAAGATCCCAACACCTTCCTTCCATCCTCTCCCTTGCCCACCTCTATCGTCTGCTTAAGATAAGAAAACAAAAAAACAGAAAAGCAGGTTGAGCTCCAATTTCCAAATTTCCTCTAAGAAGCAGAATAGGAATTGTCAGGGTAGGGGGACAGGGGGAGAACAAGGAGGAAGTCTTTTCAAGGTTTTGAAATGACAGCAATTACATTGGTCCAAATGCTTTTAAGATGATTACAGGTGGGACTTTTATTACAAATTCAGTGTGTGAAGTCTAAATGCCTCTCCAGCTCAAATCTGTTTAGCATCTCATTACAGGAGCTGGGCAGAGTATTTGAACAATTTGGGAAAAATGGCTGCCTGGAAGCCATGCACTGGGCCAAGAGAGATCACAAGGGCAGCCTTGCAGGTGGCAGCAGTTGTGCCCCATTCGAAAAACGCAGGAGTGCCAAAAATTGGCTAGACACTGTGTTTGGAGCCTCAGAATTCCAGCCTGGGATAGTGTATCTGGGTTCTTCTGAGACAAACTTGCTGCAGGACCTTGGGCAAGGAGATGTCCCCTCTGCCTCTCTTGGTCAATGGAAGGGAGGGATTGTTATCCTATTCCTGCTCGAGGGTCTGTAAGGATGAGGGAATTGGGACAGGAGGAGGGTAGGATATATGTGCACCTAGGCAACCAGGTTGGCATGTGTTGGGATGCATCCTGTGTAAATGCACTGCTGTGTGTGCACAGCAGCCCAAGGATGCCTGGGCTCTAGAGGGAGAGGCACCGAGATTGAAGGTGAGAATCTTCAAACATGATAATTGTCATTGTCTCTCTGCAGCTGCAGTTATCTGGGTGTGTGGTATATGCCCACCACCCTGCTGTGCCCAAGTTGCTGAAAAGAATCACAAGGACAGTCAAGAGCCCCTGCTGGGCAGCAGCTCCAGAATCTGGGATTCAGTGGGGCACGGGAGAAGAGGGGCCCTTCTGAGCATATTGCCTTCCTGAAATTCTAGACCCAGGGCAGAAAGGGGAGAGGGAGAGGAAGACAGAGGCAGAAAGCCATGGAGAAGAAGAAGGAGTGAGAAGCAGTGGAAGAACGGAGAAAAACATCCATGGATATAGCGCAGAGTGGAGGAATCTCAGGGTATAAACATGCCCTGGCTGCCTGTTGCCAACCGTCCCAGGATCAAGTCCTGTCTGTGACTCAGTCGTGGAACACAGACCACAGGATACTTGCTGTCTGATGGGCTTTTCTTGGGAGTAGGGGAAATCGTGGTTCACTCACTCAGTGGGGACAACGACATCCATGGACAAACAGGTTCCTGTTATGCCAGGGAGAAAAAAAACTATGGCCCTTCACACTGAGAGGTAGCAGGAGCTGGGATGGGGCCTCAGGGGACAGTCCCCTTTGAGCTCTGGATATATCATGATCAACTGTCCCAGGATGAAAACTGAATGTCCCACATCCAGGAAGCCCTTAATCCTGAGCAAACCAGGACAGTTGGCCAGCCCATAAAGATGCCCAATGACTTTCCTTCACCTGGGTTTCTCAAACCTCATTGTGCACATGAATCACCTGGGGGTCTGGTTAAAATGCAGATTCTGTCTCAGTAGGTCTGGGGTAGGACCAAGATTCTGCATTTCTAACAAGCTCTCCAGTGGTGTTGGTGCTGCTGGTCCACAGACCACACTTCGAGTGCTCACTTCTCTTGAAGTGTAAACCAGAGGGAATCCTGAAAGGAATAGGATGTCGGATTCAGCTGTGATGGGCTCAGAAAGAGGCTGTTTCTTGTGAGAAAAGAATGAGTGGATTTGGGTGTCAGCCTCCTATGTCAGCTCTCTTTGTTTTTCTCCCCCAGAAGGACTCGAGTCTCTACCAGCTGCCCCCGTCGTCCTTGCTCCGGAGACTCTACGACAGCCGCTCAGTCTCTCTGGAGGGATTGCTCAAAGTGCTGAGCAAGGCTAGCCTTGGTAGGAAGTGGCTACAGAGAGAGGCATGGGAGGGGCAGGATTCTGAAGATTAGATAAGTCTGGAGACCCTTTCAGAAGGGAGGGAGATAGGGGATGGCTTAGTGAATCTGTGAGGGTTGTGATCTGAACCTCCCTCTGGTAGTCACTTTCCAGCCTGTTCTCCCCATTTACACAATTGTTCTTGGTTTCACAGATCCTAAGGAATCATCCCTTCCCCAGAAACGTGAGTAGCCTCCTCTCTCTGCCTATATCTGCTGACCACTTGCCCAGAGCTCCGTGTGCATGGGGTCCGGGGCCATTTCGGCTGGCCCCATCTCAGCTGGTGCAAACAATACGCCAGTGGCACCTGTTCAGCCATCCTTCCTGAAAGGGAGAGGCCACAGGGAATGAGGAGGAAGCAGGGGTGAGGGACGTGGTGGACTCTCCCTCCACTGACTAGTCACTGGGAAACAAGAAGTTCTCCTGGTGCCGCTGAAGATTCTAAGCCAGGCAACTGCTAGGGCAGAGAATTTCTTGAAATGTGGAGAAGGGAGAGATGGGCGGAGAGAGTGGGCTTAGGAAATACGCCTGCTAACTATGGGGAGTCAAGCTGTGGCAAGATGGAGGAACAGAGACCAGAAACCCAATCTTGGAAGTGTTGACACATGTCTGGGGAAATGCACCACTTTCTCACTGTCACTGTTGACAATGTTGGCCCTTTTCTGCAGGTGACATGCATGACTTCTTTGTGGGACTTATGGGCAAGAGGAACATGCAGCCAGGTAGGAGTGTGTAGAGGTGCAGTGGAAGGGTTTTGGGTACTGGTGAGGATTTGACAGAAGTCAAGTGCTTCATATTTGTCACCAGAGGGAATGACAGGAATTTTCTTCGCTTTAGTGAGGGTTCCTGGGCCCCTTCTTAGCAATCAGCTTGAATCCACGGTCAAGCCCCACACCCCGCAGCAGAGCAGGACAACCTTTATTAGGTAGTCCTGCTGCAGCTGGGAGGGAGGGACAGGGAGGTCCTGCTTCCTCCTCATTCTCCCAACTCTGTCTTCTAACACTACCCCTCTTAGCCAGCCCTTCACTGTTGGGTCAGAGTGAAGGTCACATTCAAAAAAATCCCTCCTAACTATACTGTTTACCCTAGATACTCCTACTGATGTGAATCAAAAGAACATCCCCAGCTTTGGCACCCTCAAGTATTCTCCTGATGCAGAATGAGGTAAGGCTTGTTGGTTGGAGAGAGGAGAGGGGACTGTGTTGGGGGTGGGGGTGGGGTTCCTCCGATGCTACAGGCATTAATGCTCATAAATTTCCCCTAAAATACACCGCCAGTGCCCCAGAACACTGTCGGTCAAACACAAAGACACCTAGAGGCACGTGTGCGTGCATACTACCCATCCCTCTTTTTCATCTCTGCATCCTGTATCATGGATCCCCGCTGACTATGGAGCAGAAGGAGTGAGTGGTGGGAGACGGGGAGACCGGGGTTCCCCTGGGGCTTCTCTGATGGGCAACTTCAGTTGTTTGAACTCCGTTCTCTTGTGATCTGTACAAAAGATGGAGAGGTCATCATCCGATAATTACAGGTATTACATCCAAGTCACAGGGGAAGTGTTTGCTTCCCAGGTAGGCTGAACCCTTCAGATCATTCAGAATCCCAGGTTTCTGGGTCCAGAGTGTAGTTATATCTATAGGTGGTTCAGGGAGAAATGCAAGGATCTCTGAAACCTAATTGGGAGTAGCTGGAAACCATACCTTAATCTTTTTGTATAGCATAATGGATAAGAGCATGGCCTGAATCTGAAACCTGGATCTGCTACTCTCTAGCTGTATCCCCTTGGCCAAATTTTATAACCCTTCTGGGCCTCAGTTTCTTCTTCTGAAAATGAAGGTAATAATAGTATCTTGCAAGGTTGTGGTTTTGAGGATTGAGTATAGGTAGTGTACACAACAGCGCCTGTTGCACAGCACTGTGTGTGAGCTTTATTATAATCATTCTACTTAGGGAGGTGTGGGGGATGTCCTAGTGTTCCCCTGACTGGCTCTGGTCTGCCTGCCTAGAGCTGTCTGGGCTGGACCTCAGGTCTGAGTGGGCTGACAGCTTCCTCACTTGTATGCAAGTGTCAGAGTCCCCCAGGGAAGTGTCTAGTCAAAACACAGAAACTTCCGCTTTGACACTATCTTCCCACACACAGAAATAGCAGCTCCACCGATGGCTTTCTTTTCACTAGCTTCCAAAGAAGGGGGGTGAAAAGGAGAGGGAGAGGGATGGGGAAGCCTCAATAATCACGGAGAGACTCTTGCCTCTCACCCTATATTCCTATTACCCACTCTCATTTGTCTCAACGTGGCGAGCCTGAGACCCAAGGAGCCAGCTCTTGATACTGCCTATGCATGACACCTGGGACCAGAGACTGGGTCTAGCCCCCTATTTAGTGTTGGGTGAGAGGGCACAAAGAGCTATAATAACTGTAACTCGCTGATTACATGGTACTTACCGTATCATTTTGCTCTCATTAGATGGTTATTTCAGTCCTGCCATTGGCCAGATAATTATACGGTCAGTTATATCTGGATGACATACTCTGTTCCAGTGTTAGGCACTGGCCATAAAGATAATTACAGTGCAATTTTCCCGTAGTATTTTATACAAATGGCAAAAACAAGTACATTGTAGAAATCTACTTTTAATGCTTGCTGTGAATCCAGGCTCTTTCAGAGGGACGAGGCTCATAATTGCAGCCTCATAATTTCGCCACTCATGGAGCATTCTCAGCCTGTTAGGTGCCAGGCAGAATAGGACATAAGGTTCCCGGGGGCCCCGGCATTTAAAGGAGATTAGGTGAGATGGATCAACACAGATCATTGTGTCATCTTATTTCATTCATGTGAAACTGCTGAAAAAGGAAGTGATCCCTGGGCCTGTCCTTCCTCTGGGAGGTTTCTAGGAAGAGGAGGGACTGGCAAGGCAGGGGAGCATTAGCAGCAGGGCACCTAGGACCTGTGTGTATGCCTGGCTCCTGGGGTGCTCGGGTAGCAGGGGCCCCACAGGCCATGCGCACAGGTGTGTAGACTAGCATGATAAATACAGCTGGGAAGGTGCAAGCCCCTGCTGCTAGGAGAGTTCAGTCCTCTAGCTCAAAGGCGGTAGGGAAAGCTGAGGGTTAAGACTACCGTGTTCTCTCTCCTCCCTTACAGATACCCCTCCTCTTCCCCCCAGCTCCCCTGTGGATGGTCAGTGGGAGTTTTACAGGACATGAGATGTAATTTCGGGGATTTCTGGGGCCTCAGGACTTCACGTCTGGATCCCTGGACTGCCTCATGAAGACACTGTCTCCCTGTCCCAACTCCCAGATGCACGCTCTCCTATTTCCCATTCTCTTCCCCATTATTTTAACATTCTTGTGCTGTGACTCCTTCCCCATCTCTTCTACCCTACCCTGGCATAGAAACAGTGTAATGAATATCCCCAATCCCACTGGACATCGTCTATAGATTCATGTAGAGTGTCTGTAGTGTCCTACATTAAAAATATAATGTTTCTCTCTACTCCTCAACAATAAAGGATTTTTACATGAGTAATGTGATGTATTTGTTTGCTTATTTGGCTAGTAGGTTTTTTTTTTTCCTGGACTATTCAGCTACATCATACATAAATACACACATGTGATATACACATCATATTTAAATGGAAGTATCTTTATTTTGTATACATATCTATTTCCTTAATAATGCTTTACACAATGCTTTGCACAATTAGTATTAGATTTTTAGTGATTAAAAGAACACATAAATGAATTTGCAAGATGGTTTCTAACACTCAAAGATTTTTACAGACCAGCTTCAGATAATGAAAAACCAGATATTCTGAATAGCTTGTCTGTATTACTAGGATGGGACTATTAGACATCAGTCCCTGCATCTGACCCTACTTAATTAGAGAGGAGGTGAGGATCAAGTCTGTGCAAAGATCCAGCCATTGAGGAGGATGAATCTATAACACCGTATCGTTTTTCTGTCTCCGAGAATGGGTTCTGTGACAGATCCTGAGGATGAGATGGTGACCTATACACAGTGTTTACAATCTAGCAGGGCTGCGGACAAGCAAACAGAACTTGATCCAGCTAGGATTGGGCGTGGACAGGGAAGTTATTGCAGAGGCCAATAAAGAGAGGAGCAGGTACCCTCAGCATTAACTTGCTGCCTCAGTTATTATAAAGAGACCAGATTTATTTCAGACTCCTCTACAAGGTGCCTGTTACCGGCCCCTGCAGCTTTGGTCTAGAAGTCCCCAGAATATGTAAGACACTTAAATGTGGTATGTGTGGTTATGGGTTTCTCTTATTAATCTGAGATGCCAACCAGCACAGCCCACTGACCCCAGGGTGGGTTCTGTACCCTAATGGAACAGCCTGGGAAATCCTCAGGCTCCCTATCTTAGCCTGCCGCAGGGGACGTTATTACACCACTGAAGTTCACTGACACAAAGTTGATATTCAGATTTTCCAAGGCAGTGTGAGGACAGGGCCATAGAGCCAGAGGCAACTTCCTGCAGTTCTTGCATTCCAGGGAAAGTTCTATCTTCCCAAAACCTGACTGGGGCCACTTTGGACTGACAGCTGTTCAGTGGGGGGCAGGGAAAGGAGAGAGAGCTCACCCCAGCATCACTGGTGTCAGCTTTATGGCCAGAGGTCAAAGAATGCCCCCACCCCGGATCCTACAGCCTTTCTCCAGTGAGTCATCTCTTGGACTTTTCAAAATTGTTTATCTACGGGGTTTAAAAGTGGTGACATTTTGCAGAGTCTGGGGAATTTCTTTGGGTAATGAAAGCTTCAAGAGTTGCTTCTGCTCAGACTTGGTGGGAGGGAGTCAGGCATATATGCTGAGATGAGACAGTTGCTTTGCCAAGGAAGAGCATAAATGCAGAAAGGTTGCTCTCTGGTGGGACTGACAAATATTGCAGTACTGGGGACTCCAGGGAAAATGAAGACAAATTTTAAATCAAATTCCTGTTTTTGTGCTTGGAGAATGTGTGAAAGGCTCCTGATCCTCCCCTTCCTGTTGCAAAGAGGTTGATGCCTAAAGAGACCTGCTCAACAAGACCTCGACTAAATTCTTGGCTGTGTCTTCTCCATTTAGCTTTGTGTATGTGTGTGATTGTGCCTGTGTGGCGATTTATTTTAAAAAGATTTCAGTATGAACACTATAAACTTTCATCTACATCTTCCGGGCGGTTTGTTAGCATGTGAAGTTTACTGGGTCAACACCTCACAGATGGCTGAGGCAGTTGGTCAGAAAGATTGAATTTGCAAGCCCTGCTGACTCATGTCTCTAGAGTCTGGAGCCTGCTGGCTGTGCGATGTGCCACTTCAGGGGGACTTGGTCACCTTGCCCAGCTGCAGGAGCTGGGCCTGCCATTGAAACATTGTATCAGCCTCCAAGCGACCCTTTCGCTAAATGGCAAAGTGAGATTCCTTGCCCCCAAACTATAAGAACAGGTTCTATGGCTCTTTTTGTGTCTTTTAGCTAATAAATGTTACATGTTTGGCAGCATTTGGTATAGTGCTTTCTTCCAGTATAATCTGCCACCAGTTAGTAAGGTTGTGGAAGAAGGGCACACAATCTCCCAAATTCATCAAGAGAACTGACAATCGCTGAGCGGCCAAACTGGCTTAGATCAGTTGGCAACATCCTGTGTATCTCTTCCTTCCCATTTATCCATCAAGAAAGGACTGAACCCTAACATCTGTCTGTCCTGGGGATTTGTGCTTGGTTGCTGCTATTGTCAGGCAGGGGATGGGATGGGATGGGAGAGAGGGTGAAACTGAAGGGTTTTGGACCCTGAGGGATGCCTCTGTAGTGAGGAGGGAGAGCAGGGTGACCAAGACTTATAATGTCTTTGGGTTGGGGTGGAGGCAGGCCGGATAGGTAGTTCGGGTTTGATGACAATTCTTGGGCAGGAGCATTTGAAAAGACGAATTGGGAGAAAGGGGAGAGGCAGAGTGATGGAGTTATAGAAAGAGCTATGGAGGACAGGCTTCAGGAAACAGGCCCGAGGTGCCAACAAAGCACGGTGGGATCCTGTGACTTCCTTCATTTCATCGTCTAGGTGGAAGGAGGGACAGCAGTGGATTATCAGAAGGCTTCTACTGGTCTAGCCTCAAGTGCTCCATCATTCATTCATTCAAACAGGCTTCATTAAGCTTTTATTATCTGTG